TGCCGGGCCCAGGGGCGCCGCATCTGGTTCCCTGCCGCAACGGTGCGGCCGGGCGATGGTGGTTTCGTCCCCGCGGTTCCCGGAAGCTTCTCGGGTGGAAGAAGGACCCGGCCAGCCTCTCAAACTTCCCCCGAAGGTTGACACCAGCGCCTGGGCCCCATGCGCCAGGCCGTGGGGGGGAACCCGAGGCGTGGCGGCAAATGCGTGCAGTCACTCAACACGCACTCGGCCTCTTCGGAGGGTGAGGGTTTCTCATAGTTGGCGTCTTCTAAAGGAAAAACACTAAAATGAGGGACTCAGCGGACTGAGGGAAGCATCCCTAGCTGTTGGCGCAGAAGGGCGAGCCTGAAGCCGAGTGGCCCGAGGTGTGTGAGGGGCTGGGGCAATGGTGAGAGGTGTGTGTGAGTTCGTGTGTGCGTGTATGTGAGTGTGAGCGCGCGCGTGTGTGTTCGCGCCAGCAGCGTCCTCCTGGGGTTGTGATCTTGGAGTTTTTGTTGATGTAACTGTGAGAAGGTGTGGGAAATGAATCTCTGGAACCAGTGGAACGGGGCTGTGGGGAGGGCAGGGAACCCAGGAAGAATTTTCTTCAGGAGTATGGAAGGGCCTGCTTGACTTTCAGGATGCTCAGTATTAATTTGCTTTTCCAGGTGATGGGAGAATGCTGAGGGATGGGAAGCAGGTGGACCTGAAGGAGTTAATGGAGGCTTGGGGATTTGTTTGGCTGAGTTTTGTTTTGGGGATGGGGGTGGCAGTGCCAGAGTTGCTTGGAACAGAGTTGTGCTCCTCCAGAGATGTGGCAGTAGAGCTAAGAATACCGAAACCACACACCAGCAATCCTAAACAGGCACTTTTCGGGTGTGGTGGGGTGTTCTGCTGCTTCCCGCATCCCTTCTCTGCAAGTTCAAATGGGTTCGCATAAGTTTTTGACCCGGAGTTACCTCTTTGAGTGGACTGAGTGAAGATTATATTTTGGTTTCAGGCCCTTGTGCCACCTGCAGATGCACTGTGCCCAGCACACATTTGCCACCTAGTTCTTTGTTGTCCAGAATTCTGTACACATTGACCATTGGATGAATGTCATTTTAAAGCTTCTTCAGTGTGCAAACATTTCTGATTTATTCCACGACTGGGGCCTAAACAGGCAGCCCAGCTCTCTGATGGTTTTTTTCCGTCCCTTTGGTTACAGCCAATAAATCAATCTTCGTTTTCTCAAGGGCAGCATGGAAAATATTAAACCACAGTCTTGTTGGGCTGCGTGTGGGGGCTAGGATGCCCATACATCTGGGTGACCTGTTTTCTGAACTTAAAGTAAATCTGAGGCAAGAGGTTAGCCATTCCGAGGTGTGTAACAGGTTTCCCAGAAACATTTCTGAGGTCTTATAATTGGTACTTTTTAATGGTCTTGTAATTGAGACCCAGAAGCTTCTCGTGGTAATCTGGAAGCACCTTGGGGTCAGTGGGACAGAGGCCGGGTAGAAACAGCAGCGGAGTTACTATTTTCCTGCTATATGAGTTTTTCAAATGAGTTTATGCAAAGAGGTAAAGTGAAAGAAAAAAGAGTTGCCTCATTGGGCCACTTTGCTGACACTGCCCTCCCCTGTATAGGTTTATCACTCAGAATTTGGCCCTTATCGGGAGGCTGGAGGGTGTCTCCACACCTATGAAGCCTGAAAATTGAGACCTCAGACACTGTCTCTTTTGTCCTTTATGGAGATACTTCAGAAGGGCATCACTGCAAGAGACATTCGCTAGGGAGCAATTGTCCCCCACACCATAGGCCACTGGCTTTACTTGGGAAAAGTGGTTGCTAGAAGCCGGGATGGCTGGTTCTTTGACTACAACTGGAGAGGGAGGGTGTGGGGAAAAAACAGAGAGGACTCTGCTTAGCTGTTAATTGGTGAGCCAGCTCATGATAAGCAGTGTGATTTATGTTCCTTTCCACCCTCCAAATGGGTCCAGAGATTTTCCTTTCTTTGAAGTGCTTTTTCAAGTGTTTGGGATCCCAGCTCTCTTCAACAACATGGTTTCCATGCCCTAAGAATGAATAAGAGATTTTACCCATGAAATAATTCAGTTGACTTTCACATGGACCCCCCACAGTTTGAAAAAGGAGGGCAAGAAGTGAGCCTGATGTGTCACAGTGTTCCATGTGCCCTAGGGGGTCTGGGTTCAAATTTCGGCAAAGCCGCTGCTGTGGTTAATGAATTAGGGTTTATCTCTGTGTCTTTCAAACTACAACAGAAAACTCAGGTGCACAAAATAATTGCTGTCCAATACCTTGTGGCCTCTGAATAAGAAAATATTAACTTGGCACCGAAAGATATTATATATTTGGAAGTTGCTTTCTTTCCTCCAAACTCTAAGCCCTCTTGCTCTCTGGGAAAATATGGGACAGGAGAAAAGAATTGAAATTTGGGAGGGAGAGGAAAGAAAATAGTATGTTCCATTTAGAAAAATCTATTTACTCTTAACATACGTAACTTCTTGTCATGTCCATAATTCAATTCAGCAAACATTTTTAGTGCATCAGGCACCAGGCTGAAAGCTTCCTTGTCCCAGGAGAGTAAGTTTTCTTAGTCAAAGGATGGTTCCTCCTCAGTTTTTATTTATTGCACGAGCATCTACTTCTAATTAAGAAAATGTTTTTAAAATTATCCACAATCCCATGGACTTGTGTTGCTCATCATGTGCGTACATACTTTTTACATAGTTGTGATAAGAGTATAAACTTCTGTTGTCAGACAGCCCTGAAGTGTCTCTACATTTTTGACTATAGACTCTCAGAGAACAGATGTAGCCAGCTCCTTTGCTGTTGGTCGGAAAGACCCAAATCCTAAGTGTGCTCCCACATGGAGCCTTAACATGTAACATTTTCATAATTTATGAGGTTGACTCAAATATTTGGGGTTAGGGGGTGGGATGGGAGAGGGTGTTTGTTTTTAATCTATAAACCCATGTTTATGAAAAGCTTGCCTAGAGAAGGTTTTGCTTCATTGGAGCCCTCAGGGTTGGTAATGGATAGAGAGGAGGTGGAACGCAGGAAGGAAGATTTAGAGGATCCATCTCAAATGGCACTGCCTTTAGGAGGGTTAGGAAACTGGAGTTGGAATCTAAGCTCTGCCTGTGAACTCTATTCACACTGACTCAAACCACTGAACTAATCTATTCCTACATCTCTACTGCCACCCAGTTAGATACCTTCCCCAAGTTTGCCTGCTCTTTCCTGCCCTTCCTTTTATTACTCCACCATCTTTTTCATTCCTGCCACCACCACACTTGTTGATGCCCTTGACAATTGTTGCTGGCACGTAGCTCGGCCCCCCAGTGCCAACCTATGACCATCCCACCCATTCTCCACCAGTGCTATAATCAAGTCACCACCCAGCTTTAAAACAATCTAGGTTTAAAATCCTAATTTCTTAAAACTCTGCTGTGTAGCTCTGTCCTACCTCATGATAATATTACTTCAATAGGAGCCACCTTCTCCAATCTAGTAGCTGACCCTTGATTTTTGCTGAGTTCTTTCCTTGCCTCTGTCTTATCACCCCAAATCCCTTCCATGTAAGCCTGACTAATTTTGTATGAGGCCTGTTTATAATGTGATCTTAAGAAATATTTGATGACTATTGATGAAAATGGACTGCTGAACACAAAGGTAATGGTTTTGTAAAGTGTAATCACTGTTCTTAATCCGTTGTTCATTTCAGCAAGGAGCCGGGAAGCTGGATGTTTCACGAGGCCTAGGCTCTTAGAAAAATCACTTTTCTACTGTTTTCCTATTTATAAAATGTATTGATAAGGAATTACTATGGTTTATAGCAATGCACCTTGTAAAAAGCAAATACTTCAGAACTGTTTATTTTGTTCAAAAGATGAGATAATTCGCTTTTTCCTCAGTTTCAGAACAAGCTTCCTGGAATCCACGACCCATGAAATCTTGTCAACATTTATACCGTCTGAAGGTAGCAGCTCGAAAGTAGAAGAAGTAGGTGAGGTTCTCTGCTCAGTGTGATAACTCTGGCCTATTAGGTCAACCATTTGTTCATGTTTTGTGTTACCACTTGGAGATGGTTTTTCTCATCCTCAAGTATTGGAAGTTCAACTTTGAGTGGAATCTGGACTAAACTTCAGGTTAGTTCTAATTCGGTTCATATGCTCTTTTAGTCAAAGCCTGTGATGACTATGTGAACCCCCTTGTTCTGCGGCAAGCTCTGTCAGACATGTTAGATACAAACCGTTTACTATGGGATTTGGAGTCCAAGCTTGCTGTGAAAAAGTCCCGCGTAGGTTTGGGTGAGGAAAGCCATGTGTTTATGTCTCTGTCAGTGGTATCACAGCAAATGCCTTGTGGTCTGATGTACTGGGCAATGTTTATCTCACAAAAATCAGCGGGATTGTGCTTCTTCCCATCTTCTGAAATAAAGTTAGGAAATAATTTCTCTTTTCCTAAAGTGAATTTGGCCTTCTCTTCAAAAAAGGCCTTTGATGTTTGGGACGGGATTATTGGGCAGTGAGAGGAAATCAGAGCAGAAGGACACAGTTAACCTAATTCAGTTGCCAGAGAAAATGTTGAGGAAAGTCTCAACCCGTTCTCCTGGTTAGCAACAGGAAAGTGTATAATATGGGTAGGGTGGGTAGGGTTGAAGAAAAATTACCGGAAGCTGAGCAGTGGAAAGTAGAGCAAAGGAATGTTTATTCTTCTCCAAAGTGAGCTTGGATAGTTTTGGACAAGATGAAGGTGATGAAGTATGTGGAGGTTGGCACCTTCATCCTTTTGACAAGCTTTTATTGAGTGCTTGCTGTGTGCCTGGCATCAGGCGTAGGCTGGCAGGAATTAATACCAGAGCCCATACTCCATCCAGAATCCTATTACTGACCTAAAGGGAACTGCAGAGCACTGCAATGCAAACTGTAGGGTTAAAGTACTTGGAATGGGTCCATTAAGAAAGACTTCTTGGCCTGGCGAGGTGGCTCATGCCTGTAATCCCAACACTTTGGGAGGCCAAGGTGGGAAGACTGCTTGAATGCAGGAGTTCCAGACCAGCCTGGGCAACATAGCAAAACTCTGTCTCTACAAAAAAAAAAAAAAAAGAAAAAAATACAAAAATTAGCTGGGCATGGTGGCATGTGCCTGTAATCCCAGCTCCTTGGGAGGCTGAGGTGGGAGGATCACTTGAGCCCAGGAGGTCAAAGTTGCAGTGAGCTGAGATGTTGCCACTGCACTCCAGCCTGGGCTACAGAGTGAGACCTTATCTCAAAAAAAAAAAAAAAGAGAGAGAGAGCGAGAGAGAGAGATGGGAGATGGGAGAGGGAGAGGACTTCTTGAGAGAGAGGAATTGCAATCTCAGGAAAAGTCTTAAAAGTAGAGATGGGACCAGTAGTACCAAAATGTCCTTTTATCTTTCCTTGTACGTGTTGTTCATTATTTGCTTCCTTAAAACTCATTTTCCTCAGTGAATGGTAGGCCTAAGTATGCTGGAGACCCAACATTTCATGTTCAGAATAGTTTTTTTTTTTTAATACTTTTTGGAAAGTTTAAACCTGGTATCTGCGTTAACTGCGCAAGCTCAGAAATCTGGGTCTTAAGTTCCTAAAACCAATTATTGAGTAGCTTTTGGGGAGAAAAGGAGAAATGTGTGATTTTAAAAAATTTTCATCTACATGAGATTTTAGCTGAGAATCCTAGAAATACATGCCTGAATTCAGCTTTTTAGCTTTCAATTCCATTTGCCATTTGTTCTACCGTCTGTGGCTCTGAAATCGTTCCCAGGGTACCAAGTGAGGGGACATTTATTTTAAGGACATGAAAGTTGCCCAGAAACCTCCTTGACTGCTGAGAGGAAAATAGCACACAGGATGGGAGCTACAGGTGAGGAAAGCGGGGCCTGTGGAACTGGCTGGTTGTGGAGGCCTTGGAGCCCCCACCACCAAGTCTAGGTTGGAACTGGACTTTGGAAGAGAGCCCTCCCCCGCCTTCCCTGGCTCTGCCAATATTTTTCCAGATTACTGCCAGCCAAGTGCCTTTACCAGTCTGAGCTTACCTAATATTACGATCCTAGCAGGTTTATTAGGTGTGGGTGACAGTTAATTGGAGAGGAAAATTGGGGAGTTCTGGGTTTATTAGTTTTTCTATGAAAGCAGAGGCTGCTCTTAAAGATTTCAGAAGTCATCTTTCCCACTTGACTGTCTTTCTGTTTTTGGTCTTATGACTATCATTTCACAGTGGTGTTAGGGGAGCTCTTCCTTCTTACATAGCTGTACCCAAGTGAGAGAGACTTAAAAATGCAGTCAGTCAACACAGTGGAAATTTACAGTTGTTTACCTGTGTCATTATGAATGGTTGTTTTGTAATGAACAAGTTATATACGAATTTGCTGTATTACAGGCAAGAGTTACAGTCTAATGGATCATCCAACGTACGGGCCTCTGAAATAATCACCTGCAACCCTGCCTTCAGAGTTTTGGTGGTCTGCCATCTGCGAAGGCCCCACAGTCAGGTGCTTTCATTCTATAGGCTTCTGTTGCAGAGCTGGAGGCTGGGGAGTTAGGCCTGGCTTTGCCTGTCTGGACCGTGGCAGCTTGCCAGCAAGTTTCACTGGGTGGTCTTCAACAATGGGAGAAGGGGGGTGGGGGAGCTCAGCTCCCTCCCCAAAGAGGAACAACAAGGTGGCTTTCTATAGGTGGGTTTCACATTGGCAACCGGTCCCTTTGTCACTGACACACCATATAGGTCTTCAGTGTGGGTGAAAAGAATTAAACAGGTGGCCTGAAGGTGGTATTGTGATGGGGTTAATTTGTGTTTCGGATTTTACAAATGAAGTCTTGTGTTTATGTGGCGAGCCTCCCTCCCAAGAGAAGTAGCACACACAAGCAGCAGGTACCCTTCATCGTGTGAGGGAAGAATTATTATTCTCACTTGTCATGGGAGACACAAACCTCCCAATGCAGCCTTTCACCTCATCGCTTAGGGAATTAACAGTGGACCTGGAACACAAACTGAGGTCAGCTTGTCAGTGCCAAAGAGGCAGAGCTGCCTGCCTCCGCTGCCCTTCCAGCGATGGAGAAAATGTCACTGCCATTTAGTGAGCACTTACTGTGTGCCAGGCCTTGTGTTAAAGCACTACAAGCATTATCTCTGCAATCCCCCAGCAGTGCTGTGAAAATGGGCATTATTGTCCTATTCCGCAGATAAGGAAGCTGAAGCTTAAATAATTGTAGGGACTTGTTTTAGTCTCATAGCTGGTAAATGGCACAGCCAAGATTTCATTGCAGGTCTGCTGAGTCCAAAACTCGAGTTTTTCGTGAAAAAGAAATGAAGCAAGCTTTCTCCCAAAGCAGAGCTCTTCTAGCTTGGGAAAACTGTTTCTTTTACAGCTAACAAAGTGTATGGGGTAGGTGAAGGTCTTTATGAGACTTGCCATTAAGAGACTCAAATTTAAAACTGGGACTACAGCTAGGAGATTTCGAACAGCTCAGCAGCAGCCCCACAAGAGAAGCCAGGCTTTGTGGCTTGGCTAGTGTCAGACTTTGCAGCCAATGGCTTTGTGGCATAGCTGGTGTCAGACTTTGCAGCTAGTGGCTTTGTGGCACAGCTGCAAACTTTGCAGGCAATGGTGAAAGCGACCTCCATCTCAGGTTTCATCTCAGAATATGTCTCTTGATTTTTCCCCCCTCCCCTGGGATGTTGTCTGAATTGGCTTCTTCTTCATCTGCCAGATGAATCCTTTTGCTCCTAGGATCTCTGCAAGTCTGATCAAGCAGGTCCTCCATGCTCTTGGTGCGGTGAGGGGGAGAAGATATTTGGCCCAGTAGATACTTTTTACTGGTCAGGAGAAGTGGCAGCTTGTACAGAAAACACCCTGGGGAAGGAAGTAGCAGCTTTGACAGACAGGTAACTGACAGAAGATGGTACCTTCCAGGCAAATACTCATAGAGCAGCCACCAGAAAGAATTCGACAGGCAGTTACCTGCAGAACAGCAACGCAGACCTCTCTGCTGGCTTAGGAGAATGACGGCAATTTGGTTGCAGAGGACATGTAGTTAGTTACCCTTGTTCCTTGTTTTTCTGTAACAAACATGGAAAACCTGAAGCCAAGGTGTTCTGGGTTTGGGGGCACACAGGACCCCTGGGTTTAAGATATAATTATGTGACCAGCTACTTGGGTAATGAAGATGAGGTCATGAAAACTCAGTGTTTATTTCCCTGTCTTTATGCGCTGACATTATGAGGAAGCAGTGAAATGGGAGAAGTGTTCCTGTAAATGTGAGAAGTGCCTTCTCACCTCAGAAGCCCAAGGCCGTTGGCCTCTGTGCTTACCCAAGATGAGTTAGGAGATGAGAAATAACAGGGAACTGGCCAGAGGTTAGAGTCTGGGCACAAGGGATTCATCTGCTTCTGTGGTTCTGTTTTTATTTCTCAGGGCAGGAGTCTGGATTGGAGGCATTTTGGTCATATTGTCAGAGATCCTCCTGGATCCCTCCAGACAAGCTGCCTTTCCCGGCCTTGTGGGACCAGACAATGAAGGTTCTCAGGTCCAGGGGGAATTGAGAGAGGAAGAGGACTCATGGCTAAATAATTCTGGTTAACATTCTTTTTTGAGAGAGGAAGGAACAGAAGGCATCTGTGGAGTTTCTGGAGTTCCCATCTGAGAGAACAGAAGTCAGGAATGAATTTTACAAGAAGGGTGACGTGCTGGGAAAGATGGCTGTGTTGCAGGAAGGAGCCATATTTCTGGAGCCACTTCCAGGTTTGAGATTGCGCAGCATCCTGGTTGAGGGGAGGCTTTGGAACCAGACAAGCCTGGATTTCAATTCTGGCTTTGCCAGTCGATAGGTATGTGACCCTAGGCAAATTACATAGACTCTGAGAACCAGTTTCTTAGGGTTATTGCAAAGGAGAGGCAAGATAATTCACATAAAGCACATAAAATGCATTGGGAGAAACCCATAGAAGGTGGCTGTTATTATTAGGGAAGGAAAGAGGAA